CCCCCCCCCCCCCCCCCAACTACATTTTCGCTCGTTTGTCTAATGGTATCGGGGACGCCTTTTCTCACTCTGCCATCTCTAGCGAGACCCCGTCCCTTTGATCTCTCCACTCGCAACTTTTTCACTACCGCAGCATCTCACCCAACTCGAGACTCGTCCTCTCCTTCGAATTAAGCAGGAAATATCATCTCATCGTGTAAAGAGCATCCCTATAAGCACCGTGAGAGTCTCGCATCGTCGTTTCCCATCTCTGCTCCGAGGCCCTAGCGCAGCATTAGAAACGCGGTGACCAACAACGTCTTTGCTGTTGTTTGGGTCTTCAATTCACTCAAGCTGGTTTACATTGGAATTACATTCGAGGGGGAGATGGGGATCCATTGGAAGAGTCCCGGTAGTTTCGAAAAAAAAGAAAATTCTAAAGAAAACCAGGAGATTTACAATCATCATGACATAATGGCATTGTTCTCATGAATAGTTTAGGGACTGAATTTCGCGGTAAGATTGAAGAACCTCACTCACTCGAGAATGGGGAAGAGGCAATGCAAACCGCATCCACTTTTTTCGAGTTTTTCCATTTTCTATGACTTCGAGTCCTATAATAACTTTGAAAATTAGAATCCCTTTTAACATCAGAAGGCTGACACCTTAACTCTTACTTTGATGAGAAATAAGTAAGTAATAAGAAAATCAAGTTTGGTCCGCCCAAAAAGGTTGGCCGCCGCCTTTCGCGTTTCTCTGCACCCTCGTTAGTAATGACAGGTGTGGCGAGGTACCCCCTTCGGAGATAAGAAGCGGCTTGAGGTGGGAAGCCCGAGGTTGGAGGCGCAGGTATCGCTTCTCGGCCTTTTGGCTAAGATCAAAGTTTAGTTTCTGTTCTTATCGAATTAACCTTCGATAGAGTTTCGAATGAAACTCGTTAAGGTTATTTGATTTTTGAGACCGGACGAGGTCGTGGGCTTGCTCGCGCCTCGTCACGGGTCGGCACAGCGTTGCACTGCCGTTGGGATCGGTCCACCCCTTAGGGGGGAATAAGAACTGAAACAAGATCGGGGAAGGGATCTGAAGTGTAAGAGTCGAAAGATCCGCTCTCTCGCCAATTGGAAAGGGTCCAGGGCTTTGGAGAAGAATGGTACATCTCAATCCTGGAAACCTCACCCAGTCAGAGTTTTCCTGAAAAAGGGAGAGGCGGGAAATGAAACCATGAGGTGAAGCATGAATAGTATCCCATACTGTTCGAGATGTTTTTGTATTTCGAATGAGTTGAACTGATTAATTTACTTGTACGTTGACGTTGACTGCCTTCGCTTTACATAGTAGTGTAAAAAATAGAGCATGATACCTGCTTCAGAGCAGCGCTCGTATGGCTTCGTGCGTAGTAGCCACTTCAAATAGATGTCTACACTTTTGTTGTTGTTTTTAAGGTCGACTGGGTGAGTAGCAGGTAAAGACAGTCGTTAAAATTTTCAGTCCTGCTCCCTGTGCAACTATTCAAGTGATTAGATGTTACTATATATTTAAATATCCTAATAAAATTTTATACAAGGGTGAAAATGAAGTTGGGGGGAGGGAGGCAGCGCCCTTTTGAATCACTGACGGCTAGAGTACAGAGAAGAGAGAGTAGCCTAGCCCGCAACGGTGCTTAAGAACACTTTATGGCTTTTTCAAGTTATAACTGTGTTTTCTACTTAATCTTAGGAAGGGTAGGAGTCTCGGGGTGGGTTAGCCAGTTGGACGTTTAATTTTTATCTCATCTCGGCTTTTTGTACGAGATAACCATCTCACCCACCCCGGAGCCCCTTCCTTTTTCAAAAACAGGTAAAATCAATATTCTTTTGGCTGAAAAGCTTCTTTATGAACAAGTGAAGTGGATCAAAAGGGCGCTCCCCCCCCCCCCCCCCCCCCC